AGGGGGTGGAAGGAAGGAAGGAAGGAAGGAAGGAAGGAAGGAAGGAAGGAAGGAAGGAAGGAAGGAAGGAAGGAAGGAAGGAAGCTTGGCAAATAAGGTTGACATTTGACCACTACAATTAACATAGGACTGTATAGCCCTAAAGGAAAAAGGAGGAAGTGTCCCCTCAGGGTAATGGCTCCTAGAATAATTAAACTTAGAGGACTTTTAAATTTTGTGTATTTTTAGGGTGGACAAGTAACATTGAATTAATTGCCTTTTGTTTTCTAGTCTATTTAAAGATTTAAATAGCTTAAGAACTTGTTAAATATATTTAAAATATACATTGAAGTGCCTTCATTAAGAAAGACATGAGCCTATGCTTTCATCAGCTGTGCATAAATGGAATAACTGTCTCACCCAAGAACTGGGCTTACTTCCTGGATACTGGTCTTAATGTCCAGAGAATCTGTATTTGAAGAGATGAAATCCAAACGAACAGACAGCTACCAAGTTCTAGAACAACTTCCCCTTTTTACACAACATACTTTTAAAACTGAAATATTGCAACAGAATGTTCTATTTGGATCTAGACAGGAACCATTCCCCAAAGACACCTACAAGCTTTGCCCACCACTGTAATCATGTCTCTCATAACACACATTTTCTTATTCAGACTTCATGAGAGCCTTTCAAACAAATGAAAACTGTGAGTGAATCCACTGGTTCAGTACATAATAAAAGGATAATCTGAACTGCTACCAAATAAACGACATCATTTTACCTACAAGGCTTTTCCATATAAAATATGAAGTCTTTGCAAATATCTGTTATTTTGTAATTACCACAGAATAGTCTTTCTTCTCCAAGTTCTTGCTGCTTGATTTGACTTTATTACTTGTAATAGTTGTTATAGTTATCTACATTCTTGGAGTCAACTTTAAGCAGAGAGTATCAAGAAAAGAACAGCTGTACCCTGTCAGATAATCCAGAATTAATACCCCTTATCCAAGGAAGTGCCAGATGTTCACAGTAAAGCACAACGAACCTACCATGTTACAGACTTGCAAAGATACTTTCTTTTAGTCTCAGCAAGACTCAGCCAAGTACTAAAGTGTAAGATTTTGCCCTTTCTAAAAGGTGTTTTTGTTCTTACATGAATAGCTAATTATTTTCCAAAACCTGCACCCTCTTCTGCTATGTGCTTCCCTTCTTTAAAACTGGGATTCACGGGAAATCTTGAGAATGTTTGCAGAATTTTGTTTCTTAAATACTAAATGTTGTCTTTCTGTTTATTAAAAAAACGTGCTTAACTTGAAGAGAAACAAGAAAGAAAAGAAACAAAACCTTTTGGAGAGCTCAGTCTGTTTTTTCTCCCTTCCCTCCAGCAACATATGGCAACATCTGCTCCTTCCCTGATGGATAATGACTTGTTGGCATTGACTTTTCTGCAACCAAAACATCTTAAAGTGGCAATTAGATAAATTCAGATGCAATTAAAAAAAAAATATATATGCACACATATAAATGCTTTCAAATTCTTGAAGTTTGGTATAACTGGATGAGCAAGCAGCTCTTTTTCTGAGATCAACACACTGAGCATAAAGCCCATCACAACAACTTTGCTTTCTTGTTGAGGAAATATGAATTGGCTTTTGCTTATTGACAAACCATACAGCAGAAACTGTTAATAGGAGGATACTGTCATTTTGCAAAATGAAAGAGCACACAGTTCCAAGTTTTAAACATTTATTATGCCTCATCAAAACAGTTTTAAACACATAATCTAGTGCTGTGTGAGGCAAATTTCATTGTTTCCTGGATGATTAAGCATGACACTTGTGCGGGTGGCTTCCGGAAGACCTTTCTGTGCAGCTTATGGACATGAGGGTGTTTTTAGAAGTCAGGACGGTCCTTTTTGAGTCTACTGTAGTCCATATTAACCGAGTACAACTAGGAAAGAGAAGGGAAAAAATATTAATTAAGAAGCTTGACTACACATTTTCCCTGGTACTTACTAAAAATACGCATCATTGAACTCATTCAGGAAACTGAAATAGTATTTTGAGTCTGTGAACTGGGCACTAATAAATAAATAAAAACTTTTGATAAACCGTAACTTTTTAATATTAATTCTACACTCAGTATTAAAAGCTCTGCATTTAAAATGAGGCAATGGTCGTGTCTTACACTGGAGAAAACCCACAATGTCTCTTCTTAATCCCCAGCATTAGAAGTCCATTCAGAGGAACTTTTTACAGTACTGCTGAGTTTATCCATTTTGCTCAAAATCTACGGCTCCTGTATAAGGCAGCAAAAGCTTGGCAAAAGCTAGATTGCAAAGTGGCACAAAGCACCGTGTCTGTGGACAGACAGACACAAAGGTGTGCCACTTTTAAAGCAGTGCTACAAAATCCAAGTTTGGTTTACGCAGCTGCATCTAGAACAGCAAAGGATGACAAGGAGGAATTAAGGTCAGAAGAGATCCTCTCACATGCTCAGTTTATACTGTTATAATTGGATCCTGTTACAAGCAATCCAGAACAACCCAAACAGCACCTGAGGACAATGAGTTTACAGACTAACTGCATATTTTGGCATCCCAGCCTGACTTGACATCAAGCATCTGATGGTACAGTTTTCCTTAAAAAAACAAACAGATGAAAACCATGTAATCATTAGCCTGATTATTTTTAGTTACACCCAATTTCTTCATCTTTTTAAACTTTCTTAACGAAAACACAACAGCCTACAGCACATTCAAATTACAGCTTTCTGTGCAACTCCTACAGTAATGTTCACATCTTCAACTCCTTTCTTTGGAAGAAGACTGGGGAAATTAATATGACAAAGAAAAGTTTACAATAGAAAAAAAAAATCTCATCAAAAGCTAAGACTTGTATAACAAGAACTTTTTACTGAAGAGTCATCCTCAAATTAGATTGTATGTTCTTTTCACTTCCCACAGGGCAGATTTGGAAAAAAATGTCCCCAAAGATACTCACACCCAAATATGGCAAACCCTGAGGCTGTGTTTGCATGTTAAGGCAGAAGGGGAATGCCACACAAGTCATGCACTCTTTAAAAGAATTTGTGCTGTGCAATATGCAGAGTTTAGATATTTACAAACCAGTAACATTCCAGAATATGAAAACAAAGAATGAAATGTTCTTCTTGTTCTTCAAGGGAACTGCAACCTGTTTCATTTTGGAAGTGTGGGGTTTTTCTACTTATTTCAATGACTAGAATAGTAGCATATGGTACCAAACAAGACACTAGCTCTGAAAACACAGGTTTGCTTTTTTTGTAGCTTGAGAATAATCTTAAAATATTTTTAACAGCAATCTATTAACATAGCACTTCTGTAAAGCATGATTAAAACATGATTCATGTCCAGAGAAGGGCAATGAAGCTGGTGAAGGGGACAGATAGTAAGTCATATGAGGAGTGTCTGAGGGAGCTGTTGCTGTTCAGCCTGGAGAACAGGAAGCTCAGGAGAGGCTGTCACTCTCTGCAACTCCCTGAAAAGAGGGTGTAGCCTGGTTGAGGGGTTCTCTCTCCTCCCAGGCAACCAGCAACAGGATGAGAGGATACAACCTGAAACTGCATCAGGGGAGATTCAGCTTGGACATCAGGAAGAATTTCTTTACTGGAAGGATTGTCGTACATTGAAACAGATTGCCCTGTGTGGGGGTGGAGTCACCATCTATGGAAGTATGGAAGAAATGACTGGACATGTCACTTAGTGCTGTGGTCTAGTTGACAACATAGTGCTCAGTGAAAAGTTGAACTCAGTAATCTTGGAGATCTTTTCCAACATAAATGATTCTATGATTTTACTATTTCCGTAAACTACCAAATGTTTTACACATCTTTGCACGCCTCCTCATTAGTTCAATGAAATTAGTTTAATATTAGCTAAAGAACATTTCTATTGCATCCAGTTACTTACAGTAGTTTTGTTTTCAAAAAATCAACTGCAGACCTGAACTCATGGCTATGTTAAACACTGACATTTTCGTGCAGTGCTTCTCATGAGTAAAGGCCAACAGCTCAGAGCTTAAAAAAAATAGTTGTTCAGATCTTCTGGAGTTTTTTCCTTCTCCCTGTAGTTTATTTCTGATTTTTAAATCAACCACTATTATGAGAGTTTTAAACCTCAAACTCAGCCACCTCTGCTCAGAGTTCTAAGGGAAACAAATGCTGCACAAAAGGAATACATCATTCAGCCAACTACTTTCCCGTATAATCAAACATTCCAAAGCAGTAGGCTACATCTCTAATATGAAGCTTCGTAAAATTCTGTATTTCTCATTTTACCTTGTACTGGTCATTGGGAGACATTTTGTTCCAAGGTTCTGGGTTATTTTTCTTGTCCCAGCTATTGAAAGAAATGCAAGATGTGAGAGAATATTAACACAAAATTAAAAAGAAAAAACAAATTTTATATGTACTGTGGTAATTAGGCCATGGAGTCACCCATCCAAGCAAATTTTCACAGAAAAAGGCACTGTCCTTTGTCAGCAGTCTCTAAATACCATGCTAAACAGAGAGATCTCCAAATCAAGGAAGCCACCACACACTTGTCATGTGTCAGATGATACTGGATCAAGACATTAAGGCCTCCAGGAACATAAAAACCAAGGCAGTGGAGTGCAACACATGCAGCAAGAGGACTGGCACTGGGATTACTGAATACATACCTGACGTCAGGGTTGAACATCGCCAAGCGCATGAGATACAGGCTTGCACCTACACCGCCAGATCCAATGATCACAAACAGAGGGATCAACTGGAGTAACAACACAAAAAAAAAGTTAAATATCATCCTACAATACAGAAAAATAGTATTGATACATAGCACTTCTCACTGCAGCTATGGCAAGTCAAAGAACAAATCTTACAAGTCAAAGAACAAATCTTACAAGTCAAAAAACAAATCTTACAGACTTTGAGCCACAAATGTGTGGCCCTCTAAACCCCTGGCTAAGCTCCCTGTTTGCGGGACATCTCTGGGGTCATTGAGGAACCAACAGCTATGAAGAAGCAGGTATGAAAATAAAACATCAAGAGAAACCAAAATCAAACCAAATATTCCGTCACGTCGCGTTTCTGAGGCAGACAATCGTCCTTTCACTGCCAAAAAAGCCCCTACCGTCCGTACTCAGACAACAAAACCAAAACCATGAGAGTGGGGGCGTGGGGGCAAATTGATGGGCAAGAAGAACGGAAGGGCCACCTCGATCCTTGCAGCACAAGCAAGGCCGCAGAGATCGGAAGAAAAAGGGGACGTGGCCGTGTCTGCTCGACCAGCTCCGGGCGGTCCAGGGGCCCGGCATGCACAGGAATAACACAAGAAATGGATGGGCGAGGAGAAGGCTACCGGCGCGGCCGGGGACACCGAGCGGCGCCAGAGCGGGGCGAGAGCGCGGCGGGGCCGGGTACTCGGGCTCAGGTACTCACGGCCGGATGCTTCTTCGCGTGGGTGAGGATAACGCGTAGCACCATGGCGGTGGTGCCGGGGTAGCGGCGGTTCGGCGCGTGCGGGAGAAGATCTCGCGCTCTGCAGGCTCCGCAGCGCTGCCTCCCCCTTCAACCAGGGAGCCCCAATGTCACCGAGGCCCCCGCCGCGGCAGGTGCCGCCGCCGCAGCCCGGATGTAGCAGCT